CGCGCGAAGGAGGCGCGTACGTAGGGCGCGCGCAGTGAGAGCGTGTATGACTGATCCTTCAGATAAGAGCTGGAACGTGTAGGGAATTATGTGGGTAATAGGGCCGTATATTCGCATTGAGAGGCGCGAGTCTCTACACCGGTTTCAGATGAGTGGATACACGACTACGACGCTAAGTGCTTACGAAGCGACGATGGCCAAGTAGTCGCAGACCACTTCGCACCATTGCACTGCATTCATGCGACTATGATCGGAGGGTGGGTAGTCACCTGCGTCCTAGATCAAGGCACCGAAGTAGTTGTAATGCCGGCCGCAGTATGGAAATCGCTCGGTGTTGGTCTGCGGTCAGACCATCACTTAAACATGGAATTGGTTAACACCAACAAGGACGCAACATTAGGCGTTATCGAGAACATACCGCTTGATTTCAGAGGAGGACCACTGTACTTTCAAGTACAAGTCATACCTCGCGCAAGCTTTGAGATTCTTCTCAGGCGTCCATTTTCAAACTAACAACCTGTCGCACGTTTGACCTCCCTGATGGGGAACAGGATATTTTGGTTACTGACCCTAATACGCGCAAAGAACTGCACATTCTGATGCTGCCTTGGGTAAAGCGCTGCACCAGCAGCTGCATTATCTGCGGGGAGACAATATCCCGCATATACTCCAATACCGGTATTTTCCTCCATCTCATCTCAATCACTCTCACATGCTTCCTGAAGTGCCACAAAGTGTGTGCGCTTCAAGTGCCCAATTATTGCTCTTAAGGAGCATCCCCGCATCGTTTTCCACATTCACGCAAAGTTCTGTTTCTCCTGTTTCTTCTCATATCACATTGCAACCATCGGCGCATTATGCGCATTTATCGTCAACCTGTTCCGTTATTGATCAGGCGTCTATAAACACCTTTGATGCTTATTATTATTATGATCGTGCACTTCACACACTGGTTTATTAACCAGTCACAAAGAAAGTGTGCACAGTGTGGCCTGAAGAGCTCAAGCTAGTACACTGGCTCGTTAGGGTTCACGAACTCGTGTTCGCTTGGGGCGCCTCAGAACGGGGCCACCTCAATGAAACATATTTTCCACCATACAAAATCCCGATGGTGCCACACACCCCATGGTCACAACGCAATATTCTGATTCCAGCCGCAATCACCGGCGAAGTCGTTTGCATTATCAATATGAGCTGTCAACAGCTGCCTATCATTCGCGCTGGTTCTGTGTTGTCAAGAAGGACAGCCATTCTTTGCGCTTAGTCCACGACCTACAACCGCTCAACGAAGTCACTATTCGCGATGCGTCGGTCCCGCCCTTCCCCGACTTTCTAGCAGAAATGTTCGCCGGGTATGCGGTGTATGCTATGTTGGATTTGTATGCTGGTTATGATCAGCGCGCGCTCCACATTGATTCACGCAATATGACTACATTCGGAATGCCCCTAGGGCTGCATTGTTTAATGACACTTCCGCAAGGACATGCTAACACTGTACAAGTTTATCAAGGCGACACCACATTCATATTACAGCACAAAATCCCCGAATTCATGTCGCTGTTCATAGACAACATGCTGATCAAATCAGTAAAAACCCGATACCAGAACATGGATGGCTCCTATGAGACCATACCCAACAATCCAGGCATACAGCACTTATATGGGAACACTGCATCATTGTCAATCGCATCTTGCAACGCTTAGAAAATGTAGGTGCAATGGTATCCGCAACCAAGTTCATGCTAGCCGCACCATCTGCAACCATTGTTGGTCACAAGTGTACTTTCAAAGGGCGCGTGCCTGACAAATCTAAAATACAAAAAATTAGAGATTGGCCTGAGCCGAAAAACCAGTTGCACGTGCACAGGTTCCTAGGCACATGCGGTGTTCTACGCATTTTCATTTGTAACTTCTCATGCATCGCGCGCCCACTAATCAATTTGACCAAGAAAGATGTTCCATTCGAGTTCGGTGAAGAGCAGCATCAAGCGATGCAAATGCTCAAGGACTCCATACTAGATTCTCCCACACTTCGGCGGATATACTATGAAAGCAGCCGCGAAGTCATCCTAGCAGTAGACACATTGTGCATTGTGATCGGATATATCCTGCTGCAAGTTGGCGAAGATGGCAAGCGTTACCCCAATCACTTCAGATCGATCGCGCTCAATGAAGTGGAGAGCAGCTACTCACAAGCAAAGCTTGAACTCTATGGCTTGTATCGCGTGCTACGTGCAGTACACGTATACATATTTGGTGTCATCAACTTGATGGTCGAAGTCGATGCAAAGTATATCAAAGGTATGATCAATAATCCCAATTTGTAACCCAACATGACCATCAATCGATGGATCACGGGTATTCTTCTATTCCAATTTAATCTCGTTCATGTACCCACCACAAAACATGCAGGCGTTGATGGTCTCTCAAGGAGACCGTGCATAGATGAGGACCCAGAGGAAGCTGATGATCATGAGGATTGGATTGACTGCGCGTACTCATTTGGAGTTGCAATCTTAAATGAAAGGACACTCCAAGTAGAGGCAGCCAGCGCCAAATATGCTCTTTCCATGCACTTAGTGCCATTCACGCAGCCGCCGAGGCGCTTACCAGTCTTATGCACCTTTCTTGATGTTACAGAACCAATACCAGATGACCTGCAAGTTCCATGCTCTGAGAAAGTGCAAGTGCTAGACGAGCGTATGACCATGATAGAGCAATTCCTTCTCAACTGCAAAAGACCCGCTGACATTACAGATGATACATTCGCTGCATTCGTCAATCATGTGGTGCGCTTCTTTGTTCTTGAAGGCAACCTTTGGCACCATGAAGCGAATGGTAAACACCAGCTCATGGTGAAACCACATAAGCGATATCAATTGCTAAAACAAGTGCACGATGACCTAGGTCATAAGGGCATATATGCCTTTTGCTTGTGGCTGCTGTTGCATTTTTGGTGGCCGCACATCGACAATGATATCAAATGCTATACGTGCACATGCCACGAATGTCAAATCAGGCAGACGCTGAAGCTCCAAGTACCACCGATGGTGCCGACACCCAGAGGTTTGTTTCGCAGAGTACACATCGACACGATGAAGATGCCCAAAGCAGGCAGATATGAGTATCTAGTGCAAGTGTGCTGCATGCTCATGTCATATCCTGAATGGCGCATGTTGCGCAAGGAGAATACCAAGTCACTCATGGCCTTCATATATGAAGAGCTCTTATGCAGATGGGGTCCTATCACTGAGATCATTACTGATAACACGCCCGCTTATAGACTCGCCACAGACATGCTCGTGGAAAGAGACGATATCCACCCGATTCGCATATCGCCCTATAACTCACAAGCAAATGGTATAGTAGAGCGCTGGCACTGTGATGTCCAGGAGGCCATCATTAAAACTTGTGATGGAGATGATACTCACTGGTATCAAGTTGTTCATTCTGTATTTTGGGCTGAGCGCATCACCGTGCACAAATCAATGGGCTTATCGCCTTATTTTATGGTGCACGGTGTTGAGCCGATCTTTCCTTTTGACCTTGCAGAAGCTACATTCTTAGCGCCAACGCCCGCGCTGTAGGGATTCATTTCTGGCTGGGCTTGCAGAGACTGTTTTTACCTTAGTGTTATGTTTGCACTTTTGTAGCTTACATAATCAAGTTACCTTTTCACCAGTTCTACTATGAGTCTGAGTATTCAGCAAGTTTCTATCATATTTCCTCTTCTCTGAGCCTTGAGCCTGGTCCAGAAACCTTTTAGGGTCGAATAGCAGCTAGGTTCTGCAAGACCCAACATTGTTCAGACTCACCATCTGAATTGTTGTACCTTCAGCGCGCACACCATTCACAACCACAGAACTTATTGCTTGGCACGCATGGAAGTTACAGAAGCGCATAGAGGATCTCAGCACTATCAGGGACAAGGTAATGAAAGTGCACTATGCATCTATCTGCAATTTTGAGAAGCACTTCCACGCAATGATCCGTGATTACAACCATGTGCCCGGTACCTTAGTATTGGTGCACAACTCGAAGGTTGAATATGAGTTAAGCAAGAAGATGAAGCCGCAATACTTGGGACCTATGATTGTAGTGCGCTGCATGAAAGGAGGCTCACATCTGCTGGCCAAGTTGGATGGCACTATCTCTAAACTATGCTACGCAGCGTTCCGCATCATTCCTTATCATCCACACAGTGATGAGCGCATTATGGTGACAAGCGTCACTGGTAAAGATGATGAAACTCTTGATCACTTAGCCGACGAGGATATCAAAGAACCCAATGAAGACAAACCAGAGTGCACGCCTGATGCATAGCATGCAACCACTTCCGCATATCACCCGACATCCTAAATGTATATTCCCACTCCTCCCATCAAACAACAAAACAATCACAAAAACATACCATCAATTTCTATTCTCTCCGTTTTACCCCAGGTTTTGGCTGGTGACCTCAGTTTCTCTTATCATGTCTCATAAACACGTGCATAGCATTAAACATACATCCAACAGACTCTATCCTATACCGCTGATCGGGTGATAATAAACCGTCAAGTACATACCTAGAAGCGTGTGCATAACCACCCCATAGACCTTCCATTTCTAACACGCGCAGCCGTGCCACGCTCTTTTTACTCATAGACTATACACCGACACCATCTAATATCAAGCGACACACAGGGACATGTGAATGAATAGACACGAAAGGACGCCTGAAGATGACAAAGACAAGCATGCAGCTTGTGTGACCGCCGTATTTTCTTGCGACTCTATATTTCTTACATGCACTTACTCACAAATTCCTTCTTATTTAATTAGGCCAGCGAATCGATTCGGACATTGGAAATGGATATGGACATGGATGGATGCGACAAACAAGATATTATTAGGCACACAAGTGCTGCACGGAACCAGGAGCAACTATAGTATAAGGTGCTTTGGCACTGACAAGCAGTTCTAATCTAAAAAGTATCTAATGAGGAACTGGCCACTATCTACTTCTCTAGCATCTCGCCGATCTCCTTCTCCCAAGAACCCCAGTTGCATGCAAAAGAATACAGCTGGTTGCTCATGTGGAGCAATTCTGACTCCTGCACATGAGTGTGCTGTTGCAGATCGACAAGCGTCTCCCGATACTTAGCCACCTCTGTCTCCAATTCGGCGTTGTGAAGCCAAAGCTGCGCAGACTCAATCTGCACCTCCTCAAGTTGAGCCTCAAGGTGAGGTGAGGGCGCTTCGGCGCAGGCGCAGAACAAGTGGTGGCCAGCCGCTTAGCACGCTGCACCACAATAGCCTTACCACCACCAGTGACATCCTCATTGGCGGTAGTCTCACCGACTATCTCCACCTCTGATTCACCAGCATCGGGCACAGTGGCAGCAGTCGGCGTGCTCAACTTCAAAGAAGGCGCAACCTTGTCCTTGGTCAGAACAGGTGCATGCTCCTTGTTCTTGGCTGCGACTATTCAAAGGAATTAGCAAACCAAAAAGGAAAACAGAAGAAAGTCACATACCAAAGGAACAACCTTTCCTGGCCTTGATGCAAGGATTGCACCTTGCATTTGAGTCTTCAAGGACGCACTTAGCGCCAGATGCAGCGCACCACATACACTCCTTCGCCAGTTGCATAACCGAAGTAGCAGTCATGCGCCCGCCAAAATGCTAGAAAGGGGCGCATCAGTACAACCAAAAAGTGCAGTAAAAGTAAGAGAAAACTCATTGGTTGCCCCATATCTGTCACAATAGGCGAAGGCTCCTTATCCTTCTCGGCCTCCTTCCCCTTCCCTTTCTCAGAAGACTTCGACTTCTCTGCCGCCTTCTCCTTCTCAGCGCACGTCGGGTGCACAGTCAAAGCCGACTCCTCTGCTTTCTCCTTCCATGCCTTGACGGCCTTCGCCAAAGTCTTGGCGGCAAGTTTGCCCTTGTTGAGCTCTATGGTGTCCACGTCACCAATCAAAACATGCAGCTGCATGGCGCACGCCCGTTTGAAGACGGAAGTCATATCGGCCTAGACAAAAGCAATGAGTATAACAAGTAAGTGGAGAATGGAAAGAAACTTACCATAGCGGTATTCCAGTCATGGAGCCACGACTCTTGCTCCTCCAGGAGCTCTGGTTTTGGAGGAGGCGACATCTTCATGCAAATGTGCATGGTATCAAGTACCACCGCCCAGGACCGTTCGATCCAATTGGCGATGGATTCCTGTGGCTCCTTTGGAGGCACAGTGTCGAGAGTGGTGTCGCCATTGTTTTGGGTGCACTCCTCAGGCTCAGGAGAGGGTGAGGGAGAAGCAGTGAGCATAGCAGGATCAAAGATGGCAGAGGACATGATAGCAGATGATGAAAGATAATCGCAAAGACGTGATGGAGTATTGAATTGAAGAAGAGAAGCATGACACGTGACTGGCTTTTATGCCGGAAATGAACCACATTATGTCAGCACAATTCCGCCCGCTCACCACAATTCACGCGACCACAGTGGACCTGCTCCACATCCGATATGGCACGTTCTGCCCACGATCACGTGACTTTTCTCGACGAAAATAAGCTAAGTCCATCCACCCCTATGTACGCTGACTGGGGACAGTCAGAGGCTAAGTTCCTATGAGATGTAGAGACTGACATCTCTGTGGCCTCATAGAGGGCTAATTCTCCAACACTCTAATCACCTCCCAAACACAGCGCGACCCATATCTCATTCAGCACACTTCGTGCTTCGTCGGCTGCTCGCATGCAGGCGCTTCGGTCGTGCATATATGCACACGCATCTTTGGTTCTGTCGCTCATCCTCTGTCCATCCATTCCATGTCCATTTGGTTCGTCAGTGCGTATTCCTATCTTATTCTCATGTATTCTGACATATCTCCGGCTCTTGTGCACATATTCTGTATGTTTCGTCACGGACCCTTATTACATATCATCATGTACTCACTTCGCTTTCCGGCTCGCTTTAGCGCTTGACAGCGCTTAACACTACTTAGAATATATATACTCCTGTCTCTATGTAGAATGACCATCATCTTCTTCCCGCACATTGTTGGACTCTAAGTCTAAATCTCTGTCATATCTGCTGACCAACAATAAGCGCTTGAACGTGCACGAGCACCAGTCTTTATATTCTCATATACAAACATTGTCTTATCCGTTCCCCAACTCACTTGAGAGTCGCTGTGCTCCACCACCCACACATGCGCCTCACGTTCACTCAGTGCACGCTGTCGCACTTGTCACTCAGTAGCAATCCCCTTGGGCCAACATTAGATTCGTGCACAGAGGACCATCTGAGTATATCTCATACCACCCACTTTCTACCATTCTACATTCCTCACCTACACCAGATCCAACCCACTTCTTTGTTCTGCTTCTTCCCCCTTTCATATGTCCCCTTTTCCAGTCCTCTGGTTATTTACATATCTGACTGTATTCATTTATCTGGACCTTGTTTCATTTCCAACTTCATTTTATTATGTTCCATTATACTATTGATAAGCTTTCCACATGCTTCATACATAGCCTTGCACTGCACTGACTGACCTTCTGTTATGTTTCCTATAGTATATAATCCCTGTAAATTCTCTGTACATCATCAGTTTGAATATCATCTTAGATTCTGCTCATTCCTGCCTCTGTCTGACTTGATTGTCTCCTCTTGTTGTCCTCCAATAGTCTTAAGATTGATTCCTATTGACTTAACATCTCCACCTCTACCTCCAGTAGTCTTTTACTGTTTTTTTGGGAGGGCCTGGACAGCTGCCATGTGTTTCTCAATTTGTTCCGCAGTTTGTTTCATTCACCACAATATATACAAACAATAGTGACATAGGGTTTAGTTAGGGTCTAGTCATATATAAGCCTAATGCCACCTCCAGCAAAAGAGCAAATTCACTGGTTTCCATCTCCTCCAGATAGCAGTGGCAATGGTTGTCCAGCTTATCATAGGTGTTGTCATTATTTATATGACCCCATTTCTTAATAAGGAGCCATCTCACAGATGCTTGGTTTGGAATGTGCAACTCACTTCTTATTCCATATCAAGGTGTTTAGTACCATTTGGCTGAATGGGGCTGAGCTGCAGTTCAGTGAGCAATATATGACTAGGTCAATGTAGTAGAGTCTTCTCAATACTGTGACAGGCTAAAAACATTGAAAGAAATTCACAATCTTTGGTACACTCAAGCTCATAATGTCATTGAGAGAATATTTTGGGTTCTCAGGAGGTGTTTCATGATACTGGTACACCCACCAGAGTATAGTATACCAACACAAGCTTGCATCCTCCCAGCCCTTTGTGCCATCCTTAATTTTATTTGCATTCACAATCTGACAGAAATAGAAGACTTTGCTGATGAAGATTTCATTGACTATGATCCAGGCAAGTCTCAAGGTGACCTTACAGAAGGACCAGCCAACCATGAAGAGAGGCAGCAGGCACAGACAAAATGTGTATCATTCAGTAGGTTTTTGCACATGCACAGTCCAGGAGAAACAGACTTTAATTCTGTTGTGACAACCACTTGGCAAAGAATGATTATATAGGTTTCAAACCTGCTCAGTCCAAGAAAATCATATGTTGAATATATTGTGGCAGTAACTATAGCTAAGACCATTAAAATTATCCATCAGGAAATGCTAAGGTGTGATTTCATAGAATAAAAATATTATTATTGTCAGGTTTCAAACCTGTACAGGTGAAGAGAAATAGATTTTAAATCTGATAACAACTTGACTAAGACCTATAAAAATCAATGTCTGGGATACAGTCTATGAGCAAATATTCAAGACATGTTTTTATATGAAAACAATAGGTTTAAAACCTGCACAGTCTAAGAGTAACAGATTTTGACTATGATGATCACTAGGCAAATTCATCTTCAGCAGGTGTTGAACCTATGCAGACAGATTTAGATTCTGGAGTATTGACTGCTTGACTAAGACCAGTGAGATGCACTCCAAATGAATTCATTCAGAAGTAAATCCTCAACATGCATTTATCTGCACTGGGTCCAGATTCATGTATAGTGGAATATAAGTCAAACTGTGCTATGGGAGTGCATGGAATAATACAGTGGTAGTGCACTGTAGGAAGCTAAGTTACAAAAACCAGAAACAGGTGCATATGCCTCACTAAACATGCTTCCGCAAGGCAGAGCCAAAGTGCTTGTGAAGAGAGTATGTAAATATATGTAACTTGGTGGGCAATGACATGGATGAAGACCACCATATCATAAGTGCATGAATTCACTGGATTCTGAGCTTTCATATTTTTATACTTGCATCAGGAAATGTCAGGATGTAATTGCATAGAATAAAAATATAATCATTGGCAGGTTTCAAATCTGCAAAGTCCAAGAGACACAGATTTCAACTCTGGTGACAACTTGACTAAGACCAATGAAGATCAATGTCTGGGATATTGTCTATGAACAAACATTCAAGGTATGTTCTCATAGAAAAAAATGTGACATTCAACAGGTTTCAAACCTGTACCACTCCAATAGAAACAGATGTTGATTCCATTGAGACAACCACTTGGCTAAACACAACTCTGATGTGCTTGTAAGCAAATTGACCATGAGCATGTGTCAAGGTGCGGTTTCATTAAAAAAAATGAATTTTATCATTGGCAGGTTTGAAACCTGCACAGTCCAAGAGACACAGATTTTGACTCTGATAATTTCATCTCTAGCAGGTTTTGAACCCACACACACAGATTTGAAACAGATTTGGATTCTGTTGTGGCAACTGTTTGACTAACACCAGATAGATGCATTTAAAAAAAAAACATTCAGAAGGGAATCTGCAAGGTGAGTCTACTGTTCCCTGTTACTCTCAATGTTTGTCCTCAGCTGAACAGATAAATTAAATATATACCACAATACAGCACTTTCAAAAAGCGAGAGGAGAGCAACATGATGATGAAAGGTCTCAAATACAGTGCACTTCAACCTTATACATATAAACCAAAAACACAAAAATCTCAGATCCAACACTTTGGCATTGGACACTGTTTCTCACTCTCAGAATTTTGACCTCACACTCATCAGGATCTGACTGCTGCAAGGAAGCAAACTGAGTGAAGTGATACTATGAAGTGTGCAGGGTGTTACAGTAACATGGCATGAGTCCCCTGCCAGCAGACAGCCCTCTGCCACCGCACGGCTATAGACGATACCGGAGTCTCACCAGCTCTATGACGATAGATGACGATAGAAGATGATAGACTGATAAACGGCAACTGCCGGCTTAGATAAGCGGTCTGGACCGCACGTGACGACATATGACGACATAGGTCTAGAAGACCTATTTATGTTATCAAGATAGAAGGCAAGCCTCATGCTGCCTCATGTACTGATAGAAGGATGCCTCATGGATCCTATCTACGATAGAAGCCCGCCTCATGGACGCTATCTCTGACTCATGTAGATAAGCAGATTAGAACCCAGCTTTAGGCTGAGCTTAGATACGAAGAGTAGTCTTATATAAGGTCGAAGATTAACAGTAGATATTCCTTACTTTAATCTTACTAGGTTTACCCTTGAACTCCTTGTCCCACTAAAGCTACCTGCTCGACATCGACTCGTACCTTCAGTGACGCCTCTCACTGTCTGTAAACCGCTATCATCTCAGCGTAACCCCTTGTTAACCACCACGAGCTACGTTCGAGTACGCAACCTTTGCTTGTCTGTAAAGGCTGACGACTCTCAGCACTCGGTACCACTGTCGTGGTTGTCACTGTTTAGATCATCCTAGTCGCACATGACCGTTTGTCGTAACACAGGGTGAAGATATGAGAGCCAACAATATGAATGTTAGCATATTCAGTTGAGCATGTTGCAATATGAAAAAAAGTGTGTCATCTGATGGGTTTCAATGATGTGGCTAAGACCATTTTTAAATGAGTTTTTGAGAAAACTATCTATGAGAAAATGTTATGATCTACACGGTTCAAGAGACACAGATTTTGACTCTGGTGGCAACTTGACTAAGACTAATGAAAATCAGTGTCTGAGACTGTCTATGATTCAATATTCAAGACATCTTCTAATAGAAAAAATGCAGCATTCAATGAGTTTTAAGCCATCAAGGTGCATTTTCATAAAATAAAATAAATGTTATCATTGGCAGGTTTCAAACCTGTGCAGTCTGAAGAGAAACATATTTTGACTCTGATGATCACTTGTAATTTTATCTTTATCAGGTTTTGAACCTACAGAAACAGATTTAGATTCTGTCATATCAACTGCTCAGCTAAGACCAGTTGGATGCACTCTCAATAACTTTATTCATAAGTGAATCCTCAAGGTAAATTTATCTGCATTTTGTCAGTTC